TCTAATTAATAAGCTAGATAATATTTGAATATACGTTTCTGTCCTATAGAGAAAGTTTTGTTTGTTATTATTTATTACTTATGATTATTACGGCCTTTATTATCAAATTACAATTATATTTTATTTTAACCAGTTAAAATGTTCGTAACCGAGTTTCCACAAGTATTATAACCAAAGCCCAAATAAGGGCAAATAGGGGGCACTTCGACAAATTGCAGGACTTACAATAGGGCAAGAAATAAACTTCCATTTATCGTTCAACCAGCATTGAAATGTTGTACTGGATGTGAATGCAAACACATTTACTTTTTTGTATTGTTTATTTAAGAACTTTCTTTAAAAGTTAAGTGTTGATAAGAAATTATCATGATATCATTTTATTTGTAACATTTAATCCAATAGCTACATATCGACCTTGCACTCAAGCGAACACCCTCAGGTCAGAATTAACCTTAATTAGGTAATCGAGTTGGATAAAGTGGCCAGTGAGAAGAAGATTGTGTGTTGCTCAGGACTGCCAACTGTCTGTACCAATCACGATCATGTCTGACAACCTGAAAAAACAAAACAAAAAAACAACGAGTGCTAATAATGTAGCCAACTATAAAAGATAAATTGGTAAAATTTGTAATAGAGAATCATTTTTATTTTTAAAAAAATGTTTCGTTAACTAATGCTAGCGATCTTGTTTGTATTTTCTTTAAATACTATTCGTCCAGTTCTTATTTATATTTTATCGGTATATTGTAACGATATTGTTGGAATTAATCATACGTAAACTGTTAAAAGATTAAAGACCTGTAAAGATTAAAGTTAAAAGATTAAAGTTTGTATGGACGTTATTATTTTTACGTGTGGAAATAAAGGTTTATCGCACATCTTAAAATAATCATGTTGTGTAATATTTAAGGATTTAATTAGAGGCTACCACTCTCATGGCCCTTGGTATAGATTTTACCTAAATTATAAGTATAATCTTCTCTTCTGTGTAAAGTAAAAAGGGATATTTATAAAAAATAAATAGCATTTTTCAAAAGCTTCTTTTAGTAAAAGGGACCTGTGAAAGCCGATTGCAATTCGATTGATGAAGTAGAGACTAAAATGAATCGTGATTTCATGTTAAAAGTTAGTTTTATTTAGTCTACCTTTTCGTAATCCTTGTAATTCTTTCTTTTACTTTGAGCCGAGACAACGAAAGTAAATGGAATATAAAAATTCAAGTTCACGTTTTTGAAGAAAAATGTATTCAATAAAATAAATACACCACATCAAACCTGCATACTAAGCCACTTTCTATTTGTCTGGTTGGAATTTCAATAAAATATTCCCTTAAAATTTACACTATAAAATGTATCTTTACACAATCAACCCGAAATGAAAAGACAACTGTTATAAACCATGGCGCCTTCTAATTAACAGCTTCAGTAACAGTAAAACTAAGAAATAAAATGTTACCTTAGACTATAGCACTTTTTGTGAGTGCCTCATTAGCCTATGTTTTAGCAAATTTAATTATAGGCATAGATTAAAGATATGCTATAAGGAAGAAGCTTAATAGCTACCGTAGGTGGTACGGAAATACTTAGGCCCAGGACCTATTTACGTCTTCATTTCGACGTCCTCAGAGGCCAATAACACTATTATTTAAAATAAATATATGTATATTTTGTGTGTCCGTAATAACTAATTGATAAGTAATAAGTAATTTTGGTCGTAACTGAACAAATGTAGCATTAATGTGTAGAGCTAGATAAAATTGAATTAATTGGTGAACTAGCAAGATCGGGTCATGAAAATAGGTTCTTATAGGGGTTTAAAGCTTTCCTAAATTAGTTTTTTTTAAATTTTACTTATAAAACATGGAAATTACCAATTTTCCAATCATTTATGCTTGCTTATGGCTATATTTAGATAACATTTGGCCTATTTATTTTTTTTATCTCATGCTATTAAAGTTTTATAAAACAACTAATTTTCTCTTCCTCGTAGCAGAATAGAAAAATAACCAAACGTTTTTAATTCAATCTACATGATTTAAAAGGGATACAATATGACGTGTTTAAAGAAATATTTTAGTTAAAATCAAATCTGGCGGATTGAAATTCACTTAGTCTGCAAGTTTGCTGCGGCAGAGGTATTTTAATAAAACAATTGCTACAGTGGGTTCAAGTAGATTGGATCCCTACTGTATACTTCAGTATCCAAATGCAATAGTTGATACCCCTGTGTGGGTTTGGTCTCCAAGGTCGGTCAAGGTCCATGTCCCAGTGTTCCAAGTCCAAGCGAAGCAGGAACAGAGGAACGGTGGACCATGGACCGGTCAGGTAGGTTCCATCGGTTCATTATGCTAAACAGTTTATTTCCAACCCGGTTTGCTTCCTGGGAAGATTGTAGGTTTAGACTTTTTATAACATTATGTATGTGAACCGAGATAGTTAATTCCTAAACATGATTCCCATGATATTATGTTTATTTGAGCAATAAGGTTTCAAATATGAATGAATAATGAATAATGAATTTTATTTCCTTAAAAACAAACAATCATCAAATCATAAAACAATTCGAAAATTAACTGACCACTTTGTCCAGTATTTGTGGCCAGTGTACACAAAACTTATCTTATCTATACATTAAATTAAGAGTTCAGTCTTATCAATCCGTTACTAAAATTATCACTCCTGCTGCTACCTGTAGCGTTACATATTGAAATTAAGTCTACTTCTAAAAATTAAAATATACATATTTGACTGCCTGAAATGTAAATAATGAACACAAAATATATAAAAAACGTACTACAATTTAACGATGTGAAAAACATAGATTTTATTCTAAAAAATTACGAAGCAACGAAGTAGTATTTATATTACATAACCATTCTTTCAACCTCTTACAAAAACTGTTAACATTATTACTTCTTTTTATATCAATTGGCAACATATTAAAAACAAAAGGTCCCAAAAATAAATACGAATGCTTGAACAGTTCTTTGTTGACTTTAGGGGTCCTGTAAAACAAATTATCTACACTTCTGGTATTGTAATATAGGTTATCAGTTCCATTATTCCCACTTTTAAGATAAAAAAATTTTAATACTTTAAATATAAAACTAACTAAATATATAACTATTGGTGACGAAATTTTCCGTACAGGAAATAAGCTGTACCCTGTACCGTAGGTCTCAAAGGTAAGACCTGGACCCGGGCAGATTTATATAATGTATTAACTAGCAGAGTACCCGTTCTTCATACGGGGTTGGCGTATTAGTATAAAGTACTTCTTGCAGTTATACTCGTGCGTTTGCAATGGGGGAGGACACGCGTTGAGAAAATTTGGTTCTTTAAAGTTAAGGGTATGCTATAGTTTAACACATCTACCATAGCCATAATGTACTACCACTGCACCTAAATAATATAAAAAACTAAATCATCAAACATTCGCACAATATCACAAATTATTTATAAATCAAAAACAAAAGCATAATTGTAAAAATCCTACTTTGACAGTTAGTTGTCATTGTGTATCACAGCTTTTTGTTGCCACTTAGTTTAGCTTTTGTCATAAATGCAAATAAATGAATAGTTGTGCACCCTGATTGCAAACCTTGTAACTTTTTAATACTGTTAAATATTATAGAACCAACTTGTTTAGTGGAAACAACTGGCAACATTCTTTAATTCAATTTAAATATGAATATGTACTCCTAAGAATAATATTGAGACTTTGAACCCCCGTGGGACATAGCCTTATAGGATTTTCACAACATTAATACGCCTCTACGTTTCTCAAGACTAAAATATCAGCTCAATCGGTCCAGTAGTTTTCACGTGATGGAACAAACAGTTCCAACACAAACGCAGTTATACACAAACATCCACATTCACATTTTATAATATTAGTAGCATAATTAGATTTGACCGCGTCCCTTATGGCGTGAAAATATTCCGTCCCGACGATAATGCAAAACACACGGTTGCACGTCTTGCGAGATATTCCCAAGACAATGAGGTAATCGTCAGCTGTTTCAGATGAAACAGAAATGTTCTCAAGGTGAAGAAACAGCTGAGACAAGTAACACAAGTACGAGTCGAGGATAACGGCTAGGGGAGAATAATTTATAATTATACAGGGTGTCCCACGTAAGGTGTCTTAAATTGATTACGGAAAAATGGCGTAACGTATAAATACCCGCTAAAATTATTTCCCGCTAAATCGACCTCATGGAATAACATAAAAATATTTTTACCCTTTTTCCGATACAGGGTGTGCCAAAAACTGAGGGTCACTAGTTCGAATCTCGGAATTTTTAAATGTAAGCATATGTAAAAAATTGATTTTTTTGGAATTTTTATTATTTCAAAAACCCGTTACTTGTAGCATATTACAGTAAAGCTAAGTTCATAAAGAGTAAGAAAATTCAACTGGAGAAGGGCTAAGTGCATTGGTATAGGAAACACAGAGTATTAAAAACATATTGATTCTTCCAAAAATACTACCGCCATTTTAAAACGGAAAAAGATAATTAATTTCTGTTTTCACCAAAATGTTTGTCTATTAAATACCTTTAAAACTGTGTATAACAGGACGTATGCTTACATTTGAAAATTCCGAGATTCGAACTAGTGATACTACCGAACCGGTGTAGTGGTCTAGTGTATTGGAAAAAAGTTTAAAATATTTGTATGTTATTCCTTGGGGTTGATTTAGCGGGAAATAATTTTAGTTCATCCTTGTACGTTAAGCCGTTCTTCCGTAATCAATTTGATACACCTACCGTGGGAGACCCTGTATAAGCCAGAATATCTATATACAAAATAGATATATTTACCCTTTTGACCATTGAAAGACTTTACCACCATTTTATGTCTATTATGTATTCATTATTTATTCTTCCCAGTAATTTAATTGTACATACATACATAATTCATCTTAAACAGTTAGCAAATATTAAATGGAACTTAAGAGATTTATTAGGCTAATTAGCTAAATTTGGATTTTTACAGGTGATTCCAACAGATACTGAACTTTTGAACACCGGTGAGTACATATTATACTACAGTTTCTCTAAATTTGTTGGATGAAAACATTTCAATTGATTGTATTGATTAAAGTCTCGTATAAAAATGAAGTCTGATTAGAGATTCAAATAGGCTGGATTATATTAGTTGAACTTAGTATAATGATATTGTGGTATTCCAGAACTGTTTGGTAAGTCTTTTTTGTAATAAAAAACATTTATAGGAAAATATTTTATGATTTTGTTGCATAAAAACAGTAAATTATTGAAGCCCTGCAAACTGTCCAACAGCATACAGTAGTATAAATACCCCCACCGCAGCAAACCTGCAGACTAAGCGAATTTCCATTTGCCTCATTGGATTTACACTAAAATGTCTCATTAAAAATATCACATTTGTTGCCTATTTAAGTAGCATTAGACTAACGAGGTTTGCTGCAACAGGGAGGGTAAAAAAGTGTTTTTTTGTAAAAGGTTAATAGTTTGGTATGAAATAAATGCATTTTCCAAATTTGATCAAAATATGCTCATAAACAATCAAACAACAACAGATTGTTTATTCTCCATAAGAATAATATTGGAATTTTATATATATATATTTTTTTTAATTTCCTCCGTAAAAAGTGCTTCAATATACTTAATTATTTGTTTTTAAGCTCTACAAAATGGTTTGGTTGGAAAGAAATTGCTAAATTTGATGCGTTTAGGGTCAACAATGGGAAAAACTAACTTTAACCCCATAAACCCCTATTCCCATAGTCTGATCATGCTGGTTCGCGTACTCCTCCGAATAAATGCAGGTTTACACTTTTATATCAAACTAGCTGTACCCGCGGGCTTTGCCCCGTTTAACTTCACAAGTGAGCTCGTTGGCATGGCTCAATAACGTCCTGGTTGAAGTTCGTTCGCTACGCTCACTCACCTTTTGGTTGCAAATTGGCTGTAGTCATAAATTTAAAAAAAATAATAGTGCCGCACCCTGTTGGTAATCCTTGTATCTTTAATGCTATTGAACATCATAGAACAGAACCAACTTGTTCAATTGAAACAGCTGTTAAGAAATTCCTTTAAAATATGAAAAATCATAAGGTTAACATGGGAAACTCCAGAGCCACTGGGGCGGAGCCCGAAAGCCCGATCAGAATAAAAACTACTTAGTTTTCCTATTTAATTCCCAAAGAATCGTCGTACTGAATTTCAGCCTCCTGGGTAAATGGGAAGTGGGAGAATTAGTGATGAGTAAGTGAGTCGGGCCCAGGTCTTACCATGAGTACTACGGTAATGATTTTACGAATGTTTACAAAGTTATGTTCAAAAGTTTTCGGACTAAGCAAAGTCTGTAGGTTATTAATGTAGTTGGATTAATAAATAAAATATATTTTTTTGATTCCCGCAGTTTATTTTTGGAAAGGTTTATATTTCATACTATAAACTGGAGCAACCACATTTCTGACAGAAATAAAAGACGATTCGGATCAGATGTGGCAATGAAATGGTGGGAGGTCCGGTTGGATTCCCGCCAAAATGTTGAGGTTATGCGGATCAACAGCTGATAAGGCGGATGAAACCGCGGGAACCACCATCCATCGGCTTGGATATAAAAAGTGATGTTAAATGGAAACTTAACTTATCTAGTTTCTAATTAAATATTTTATACTTATTATTGTACCTTTGGGATATAATTTTTCTGCCTAATATTTGGATTATAGATATCATCTCATCTGTAAAATAAGTTGGTTAGTGAAGTATTAAGATAAATTTGACCAACATATTCTAGTAATAACGTACCATGATGCGTATTTTAGGAGATCCAAGGGAGATCGTGCGCAAATCGCGCATTTTATTAGGCTTCAACACTTGTTTTACAGGCAAAACGAATCATGCAATGCCCATTTACTTCTCTAAGATCATGTTTTCACTAGACAACTATTAGGTGAATACAACTACTACTTTAAAATAAAGAAATTTTACATCAAAGCATTAAAAATTTACCGTAGATTAATCAGGCTACAGTTACCTATCAAAGAGTTGCCTATTTAAAATCCAGTTTCACAAACTGGATTGTCTTTAATTTACAATCTAACTGTGCTTAAACATTCAACTGAAGCTGTTGAATTACAATTCACTTTTAAACCGTTATAAAAACGTTAGTCAGCATCATTGAATCTTTGAAAGTGAACTCTAGACATAAATCGAATGCTCGGTGGTGAAGCCCAAAATGAAATGACGTTTTAGCTAGTATTCGTCACTCCCCTAATCAGTAGCTTTCAAATGTCTCCTCAATCGTAAAATGTGTTAAGTGGGACAGCTGGAAAATGGATGAACTTTTTCCTAGGCGCGGAAGCGGAGAGCGGAGAGAGGAACGCGAAGAGCGGAATTGAAATTAACATGGCATTCCGCTCCGCTTTAGGAAAACAGTAACATTAAATTGCCTAAGACAAGTGGAGTCCGCTCTCCGCGTTCCTCTCTCCGCTCGCCAATTCCGCGTCTAGGAAAACCCGGCTTAACAGCTAAAACCCCTTATTAAGTACTTTAATAAGTGGAGTGTGAGTGTTTAATGAAATAAATTACAGTTTTATTACTGACTAGGATCAGCTTACATCCAGGACAATTTATCAAGCACAGCAGGGTGCAGTGGGATATCAAAAAGCGTCTGACTTTACCTTGGATTGAACTAGCAACCTTTTCTGCACAAGGCGAGCACTATAGCCACTCACCTACCCTGCTATGTTATGCACCAACAATATACAATGCACCCAATTATTCTAACCTCAAATTGGCTTTACTATATTGCAACACGTTATGAAATTCTAATCATGGTCACGTATGTCTGCGGTTTTGCCGGGAAAGCTAGTAGATTTTGGCGGGAACAGACCGCAGGGGTTCTGACGTACTTATACAGTATACACGACTAATGGAATAATGTGCAACTGCCCTTGCATTATTTATCGCTTCATAAATGCAGAAGTGCATCTCTCGCCAGAAGTTATTTTCAACCTTCGTATTGATTGTGGTTTTGTTTTGCTGTTTTTTTATACGTGGCGCCATGATGATTATACGAGCTTGTTATTTTACATCTTCCTTCGCCATTTTATGTAGAAACCCTTAAAACTTTGACGAAATGCAAATTGTAATTGCCAATTTATATTTTGTAAACCATTATTTTTTTCAAAGCATTCTAACCATACAATGTGCTATTTTGGAAGGATTTTTTGTGCATTTAAAAAAGTTATTTGACTTTTTAGTAATTTTTTATAACAATTATGATTTGTCATAATTTAAGTTACGATCTTCTATAACCCGTAACGGGGTGAGTAGACGACTTAATTAGGATAATTGGGATGGAAGACTTTATTGGGTCAAAATCGACGCAGCTAAATTCTATTTAATGTTAATGATTGCAACTGAAATAGCGGTTTTAGAAGCTGCCTCATCATAAAATATTATTATATTCCTTAGCCTTCTGAGGCCACTTCAGATATTGAAGACATAAATGATACTTTTCAATACTATAGACGAGTCATGTATTCGTGTTCTAGCCTAGTGGTGCGTGGAGCGGGTTTGATTCCCAGCCATATAAAGGTTTACGGTTTCCTCACCTGCGTTTTCTATTTTTTTACAAATTTCATCGGCTTATATATTATAAACATATACATTAAAATTATTTGCCATATTTGCGTATGCATTTTTTTATCGCAGCAATTTTAACTTAATTCCATAGCACATTTACCCATGAAGAACTAACTTATTCATTTAGACACACTCTATTCCCAATAAAATCGCTCCAAGTCCCCATATTTCCCTGTTAATGGTCGTTTTCAGTTCCTCTTCCTCTAACGCCGTATGCGACGTCGTCATCCCAGCTGGTTACCCATTGTATCAGCTGTTTATTGTATGACGTAACCATTGTTGCGTTGCATAACGGCTTCCCGTAGTGTATAGTGCGCTATACTGATGTATTCTGTATAGGGCTGTATTGTAGGCTGGTTAGTAATGTTATGTGTTGCCATATGGACTTCGTAGCTGTGAACAGGACTATAAGTTGAAGTTAAACTTTGATCCAGCTTTATAACTACATGAATGATAAGGGAAGTATAGTTTTGTCAAGAGATTCTTTGCATTAAAAACTTTGTATAATTACTTTGGATTTGCAAAGCAGTATCCCTAGTTTGATGAGTCTCTTACAAAATAAGTTTAACCTCTTTCAGTGTTATGATTGCTAAACATTTTTAAATTATGATAAAACCTTAAATAACGTACTGAATATTTGTATGGAGTCTCATCTAAAAATGTTTACAATATTTTAAAATTTAAAATTAAAAACATTATATTTTTGAAAAAAATTGTGTAGCAACCATAAAAAGAACCTGGATAAGTACAATTGAATGGTAACTGGTAATGAATGATATGACTGTTTCTCATGTGATAAACCTTTGTTATTTCTTAAGAAGAATAACCTGTCCAACGTAGAATGCCCATTCCATAATTAAGTCTTCGTATAATTTGTCTAATAGGTATCTTATTTCAAAAGAGGATTTAAAAACACAGAACACGATTTCGTTTTTATCGTAGCTGTAAATGTGGGTGATACAGAACTCATTTAGAATAATGTCTAGTGTAATACTGTTGGATGGAACACTTTATTTTACCAAAAAGATGTACATTTTACCAAAATTCCCCTAAAATCCCCCCGGTTCTTCCCCCTCAAAGTCAGGAATTGCATAGGTAATTTTTTAATTTTAACTCTAGTTTAACGTGTTTACTTTTTATGACGTTTTTATTCAATATAAACTATAATGACTAACCAACAAATTAACTCACAGCTATAACTGAATCCCCAAAGACAATTCAAGTCCAGCCAAGATTTCCGCGGTAATGAGGCATTCTTAGTCAACGCAGCGTGATTTCACACAATAGTACGAACCCGTTTGTCGCAATTTGCAGTTTTGCCAACCAAGATTAGAAATTCGATTGTTAAAAGCCAATGTTAATAGATAATTATTTCGATCTAAAAATATTT